TTGAATGATGCCTCGGCGGTCATGGTCAACCGTTGAGAGATTGAGTGTGCAGTTTTCAGGGCGACGTTATCTAACCTATCAATTCCCAGAGGAAGGTGGCATCGCTTCTTCCATAAGTATGGATATTCTGGTCGCCCCTACTGCCTTCACACTCGTATCGCAGAGGTCACAACGACTTTACCTCCATATCGTCTCGTGGTACGATTCTCTGCATTAGAATGTCTTCCAGATCATAGTCCCCCCTTTGGCTCCCCTTTGGCCTTCATGGAATGTTTGATCTTTTAGGAACTGATATCCAGCTGGTATGATCTGCAGGATCATTGGAGCACAGAAGCCCAACAAACCACGACAAGGTGACAGCATTAGGTTAGCAGTGGACAAACAGCATCAGTCGAGAGCCTGGATCCGCAACGTCAATTCGGCCAAACAAGCATGCAGTACTAAATGCTGGAAACATAACTGGGTCTTAGTGCGAACCGCCGTTCTCGAACAACGACCCAGAGACTATCTGTGAAGGTGATTCATCCTGTCATAGGAGCCAATCGCGGTGAAGTAAAGTGAGAATCTTACTGGACCTGCCGTCACGCTTTATCCAACACTATGCGCTGTCGTAAGCTGTGACAACTAAAATCAACGTACATGGATTCGCGACGCATGCTTGCCAAGCTGAAAAGAATCTAACCCTCCACAGCACTACGACGTCATTTCTAATCATCGTAAGCCACCATATCTCCAAGTCAGCTGCACATCCAACACATCTAAATTTGAGGGATTTAAAAACGTCGTTCAAAAAAATCGTTCAGCTGTAGCACCTTTTCGTGCATACCACCCGAGGGTTGCAATGAGGTTGGGATACTGCCAGGTTGCCCAAGCCTAGACAGGGAAGTCGAGCCACAGAGATTCCGTTCAGAAAATTGGCGCTCTAACCACTTGGGCCATGTTGCCCCAAACGTCGTTCAGCTTCACTACGAAGAAGGAAGGACCAACACATGAACTCTGAGGGACACCACTGTGCACAGATTTAGGTCTATAAGGAATTCGTGACAGAATCTCAATAGGATTGATATTCCTGTTTTTGCCGCACATTCTTTTGGTACTTTCTTCCAGCACTTTGACAGATGTTAAATAAACCGGTCTTATGGAAGGGCTTAATTCTGTAAGAAACTTGCCGGTGTTTGTCCAAATCTGGAATACAGTTCTTGGCTGATGGTAGCAAAAAGTCCCCACAGTAGTGAGGGCTGGAATCTTTCACACATCAGACCTTTATAAGGATCTAGGTTCCATAAACAGTTCGTGAGATTTCTATCCACACAGGAACGCCTGGTGATTTCCCAGGCCATCAGCCGATGCTTAATAAATCCTGCTCCTCCCAATCCCGGTTCAATAATTCACAACCGTTGACTTCAATTTTTAGCGTGTCTAGTGCACTGGAGCCTGGTGTGACGTTCTCTACTCACCGTTTCACTTTCATAGATATAACTGATTGGTTTCCGTCGCAGCAACTCCATTCGTTAACAACCAGAAATAAAGGAAGCATTGGTCAAACCAATTCGAGTGTTGCTATGAGATTATCCTCCTTGTTGCTGGCCTTTAGTAGGTGCCGTTCTGTGGTCACCGTCCGGGGAGCAGGCCGTCGCCCACGCAACTGGGTCTACTGGTCAGGACATCCGTACTCCGTGAATTGGGAGAACATCAACCTACGTATGGCCGAATGAGGAGGTATATGAAAGGCCGACTTTGCAAAGAGTTCACACGGTGTTCCGCAGATGTCGACGGAACTCGGGATTCATCAGTGTTAAAGGCACAGACTTACTTATCGGAAGGTCCGTTGGTTCGAACCCTATCCCGCGATCCCCACTAATCCTCTCTCTGCAGACAACACACACCCTACCGAATATTCAAGCCATATACTGTGAATTGTGCGCGTAAAATTTAGTAAACATCAAGTAAGTGGTTCAGCGAAAAGATTTCGATGGCCATGTTAGCTGGCTGACGGTGATCATACACAGATTTGTAAGGTAACGGAGCCAAAGGACTAGGAAGCGTTCGGCTGTAGCATCCTTCCGGTGCCTAGCCGCCATGCCACCCGAAGGAAGCACGAGGGCTAGAATACTGCCAGGTTGCCCAAGCCTAGACAGGGGAAGTCGAGTGGCGGAGGTCGGATTCGAACCACGAACCTTCCGGTCAGTAAATTCGCGCTCTAACCACTTGGGCCATCTCGCCCCATCTCGCCTGTCCGAAAGGTTTAGCTTGTCAATCCAATCTAAACCTAACAAATCCAATCCAGGACGATCGGACACATGCTGGGCTTTCTGGTTGCAAGCGTTCCAGCGCCAATGGAAGTGATGTCATCAGACATCAGTTCACGAATAAACTGGACCCTACCATGGTGTGACGGTTTGCGTACCTCAGCGATCCATTGAGCTATACTGGAGAGTGTCCCGCGACACTCACAGAGTCTCATA